CAGGGGCTGGGGCAGGCACTGCCCAGCCAGGTTGGGGCACAGGACAGAGCTGTGGCTTGTCTAGGGGGCGTGGGGAGAGTGGGCTGGCTCCCACTTCTGCGCGCACCCTGGGAGGGCACGGAGGGAGTTCCCCCCTGAATCTGCATGGGGCAGCTGCTGCTACAGGCTGAGTCTGAGTCTGGGGCTGTGCTGGGCTCTTACTGGCCGGGGGGAAAGGAGTGGGGCTGGGCCAGGCTGCATTCAGAGCCCACAGCAGCAGCACTGGGAGTGGGCCTGCAGGGGGCAGCTGCAGCCACCCCAAAATTTGCTGCAGCCCCCCCCCAACCCTCCCTCCCAGCACCACTGCTGCCTGCTCCTGGCACAGCCCCCACTGGGAAGAGTCTGGTATAGCCCCAGCCCACAGTGGCATCCTGCCTTGCCATATGCAGATCCAGAGGCACTTGCCACCTCCCCTCTGCATCCTCCCTGGGTGTGTGCAATGGCAGGAGCTGCCCCCCTTTCCCATGCCTCCCCAGATAAGCAAAGGCTCCATCCCATGCCTACCTCACCCTGGCTGGACAGCACCTGCTCCAGCCCCTGCCCCAGCCCCAGCCCCATTCCCTCCTGCATTGTGGGGGCCTTGATCTGCCCCCCCATGCCCCTTCCCTCCTCCCTCCTCGTCCAGCACACCAAACTCACCAGCTGCACGCGGCTCTCTAAGCTGCTGAGCTGTGCTCCTCACTGCCTATGTGCTGACCTGCAGCTGCATGCATGACCCATTTATTGGCCACATTATCAGCCACGTCAAGCCAATTTCCAATACAGCCAATTTTCTTTATATCAGTGCCTATGTGATATTGGGCCAATGTATTGGTGCACCTCTAAGAGAAACATGTGAAATGGGTTTCCCCTTGCAGGCATGCAGAGTTCCAGCCTGTGAGGGGCTGGGTGAAGTGGGAATAGGGCAGTTAGGCATGGGGTAGGATGTGCATGTGTACATGTACACATGCATGTGGCAGCCAGGCAGTGTGGAGAGCAGCTCATTGCAGGTAAGTCTGGTGGGGGTGGGGAATTGAGTCCCCCAGAGTGAAGGGGAGAGAGAGGGAGTTGGAGCAGGGCTAGGGGTGCTGCCCAACTGGGGCAGTGTGTGGGGTTTGGGTCGGAAATGTGTGGCTTTAGGGTCAAGGCAGGGGGCAGGACACAGCTGTGGGCAGTTCATCTGGGGATATGGCGGGGGGGAGGGGGGCTGGCACCCTGCTGCTGCATGCACTTTTGGGGAAGCATGGGGGGGGCATGTGCCCCCCAGATTTGTGTGTGCGGTGGGTGCAGGCTGCCTGCTATGGGCTCAGGGCTCCACACCCTGCTACTCTCCCCTGGGGGCAGGACCTGGTGCAGGGGTGGTGGTGCAGTTGTGCACTCCACTCTTGCCAGGTGGGTAGTGGGTGCCTTGCCATGGCAGCACAGGGCTCCTGGTGATGGCACTAAGCTTCCCTGCCCAGCTCTGCCCTGCTGTGACATACCTACTGGGCCACAAAGGCCCCTGCAGGGTGGGCAGCTGGGCAGCAAGCCCCATGCCCACAGCCGCCAGCCCGCATCCACCCCCCCATAGACTCGACTCCAGCCATGCCAACTGTGGGGGTGGGGGAGCCAGGCTCTGTGGTCTGCTCTGGCTGCAGCAGCTGTCACCTCCCACAGGTGCCAGCCAGGGCTTGGGTGCTGCAGACCCAGGTCCCTGCCCCATAGCTCTGGCAACTGGAGGCCACCCCTGGTGGGGCTGGAGGGGGGAAGTAGGGGGCTGTGAGTAGTGAGAGGCACTAGCAAGGGTAGGGGGGCTGTGGGTTGGGGAGTGATAAGCACTGGCAGGGCCAGGGAGCTGTGGCTTGGGAGTGAGGGACACCAGTAGGGCTGGGGGGATAAGGGGCTGTGGGTGGAGAGTGAGGGGTGCTAGCAGGGCTGGGGGAGGGGAGGGCTGTGGGTCAGGAGCAAGGAGAACTGGCAGGGCCAGGGGTGCTGTGACTTGGGTGGGAGGAGCAATGGCATGGACAGGGTACCAGCATATCAGGACTGCTCAGCACCATAACGTAGGAGTGGGGGTAGTCGCAGCTGAACCCACATCTTGATGAGTATAGGGGGCAGGGGGAGGTCTGATTTTTTTTTTTCTATGATAAACCAAAATTAAATGCCAATATATACGGGTATTTAGAATGTATTTTATTATAATGATTGAGGAACTGTTAAAATTTGCAATTGCTTTTAAATTCTAAATATATCAATAAAACATTGTGTTCAACTGATACCTATTTATATATTGCTGTTTCATTTTAATTGCAGAAAAACATGGATTTTATCAGACAATTAAGTTTTTAAATGGAGAAAACCATGATCCCTGGTGATTAAAGCACAGAGGGCAGGGGGTCTTTGTAATAGCTGATCTTTGAACATTTAGGGCTTTATAGGTGGTTACTAGAATCCTAGATTGATTTAGCAGTGAATTGATAGCTAGTGGGTAAGGTGGAGCACAGAGGCAAGATGGTGTCACAAGATTGTTCCACTCAAAAGGTAAGAAACCACATTTGACATTATCACAAACTTCCAAGTGGCCTTTTGACTGTCCCTCAATACAGTGTATTACAACAGGGCAACCCTAAAATGGCAAATGCATGGATGGCAAGAGTCACAAAAGCTATAAGTTATCAGTTATCTGAGGATCATTTTTTTTCTGAGAATAGGGAGCACAGGAATCTACCCCGGAGACAGACTGTAAATTGCTGTGATCCCAAATTTATATCAGTGATTCTCAATCACGGTGCCACAGCACCCTGGAGTGTCTTGAGGTCCTTTCAAGGGTGTCAGGCAATGTTAGCATTGTTAGGTGCACAAACATGTTCCACAAGATAAATCCAGGAATAGGAATTTACAGTTTTAAATACATTCTGACTTGTTGTGGTCTTTGAGTTTTCTGCAACAGAAGAATTTGTTGCAGAGAACTTTTCTGTGGTCAAAAACTGAATGGAAGCTAAGAGCTGACACTTTCTGAGGGGTGCCTTGAGTCTAAAAAGGTTGAGAACCACTATTTTAGATGTGTTCAGCTGAGCTACTAACCACAGCCTGCACAAATTCCACAACATGTTTCTCTTCTCAACAAGCATCACTTTCATCTTATTCAAATTAAACCTAAGATATATTTCACATTACAGGCCAGCTCTTTTGAAAACTCCTTCTGATGGCATAAAGGACTGGATCATCCCTTGAAGGAGCAAGGAACTGGTTCTGTCTGGGCTTGTTAAAAAGGAGACCTAGAACTGACTATGACTGTCCCTTTTTTAAGCATTTGGAGTGCTACAGGCTATCACCTTTTTTCAAAGAGTGAAGGACATTGGATTGTGGTATCATCAGGGCCTCCACTGCCCAGCAAACTTACTGGGCAATCTAAAGAAATATGTGTTGCTAGGTAAAGTGACTGCACTGATTTGTGCCATTTCACGAGACATGCACTCAATAAGAAATTTCATTTGGCTGAAGTTTCTAATAGCACCTTTTAATACCATTATTGAATTGTGACAGTTAATATATGAGGAAGATGCTTATTTAAATATACACTCTGGAACAAACATATATATCATCTGAAAATTATATCTAATGCATCTGATAGTGCAGCTCTTTTGGAAAGTATTGGTGGAGTTAAACATAAGGATACTATTTACATTATAGTTCTTTATGCTCATGATGTTTATGGGATGACATTCTACTACTGAGAGACACGAAAAAGCTGATATATTAATATTTAGAAAAATATATTTTGCTACGTATTTCATCTCTTTTATTACTAACCTGCACAAAAAGCAACCTGAGGAAGCACTATACTACAGGATGCATATTTTACAGATCTCTGTTGAAATGCCAAAAGATGCAGGAAGTTTTATTGTCAAAACATTTCCAATAGAAAATTAACAGAAACATGTTGAGACATAATAGTTCATCCCCACATCACAGAAACATGTGCTTGATAATAACCCACAGCACAGGATATTTGATGTAGCCAACATAACCAAACAGTGTAGGTACTGCAGGTCAACACAGGGAAAGGAAAATTGCAGTAGCATTCCATTACAAGAACTTGAATACTCAGATGAGGGGAAAGACCAGGATGCTCACAAGACATGATCCTCAAGTTAAATTGAGATAGCTGCCATGTGTGAGGGTGAACAGCAGTGATTCTCATCCTGGGTGCTGTGACATGCTGGGATACCTTGAGAGCCTTTCAAGGATTCCATGAAGTGCCGCGCAATGCTAGCAGTGTTATATGGGTGAACATGATTAAAAAGGTAAACCCAGAGATTTCAGTCTACAGTGTTAAAAGTATTCTGCCCTGTTGTGGTATTTCTGAATCCTTTGCAACAGAAGAATTGCTCTATTATGTTTCTGTGGTCTAAAATAAGTGAAAACTAAAAGCTGCATTTCTTGAGGGGTGCTTTGAGTCTATCCAAATGTGCCTCAAGTCTAAAAAAGTTGAGAACCATTAATTTACAGAATGAGACCAAAAATGGTACTGAGAAACAGATGTAACAGTCCTTTAGCATGGTATTTAATGGTCAACTCCTATACTTAGTAGCATTCTAGTATAATCTTAATGCACTCTGCATTATCCTTATCTTTACCTCTTCTGGAAATAAGTAAAAATAAAAAAAACCCTGTACATATTCTTTATGGATAAGCAAGAAAAACTCTCGTTTTAACCTTTATATTTTCATGGAGGTCAGTTCTTTTTGCAACATTGGGGAAAAAAATCTGTCTTAAAAGTTTACAATTGTGTTTTCTAAAATTTGTCAGTGAAATCTCTGTAAACCAATAGTCTCCACCCAGCTCCAGACAAAAGCGAATGTACTTATTGTGAAGAAAAGGTGCTTTATCATCAACCTGTGATCTGGTTTTATTAACAGAAAGGTGATTCCAAAAGGATACTGCATAATCTATAGATTCATGGATTGTCTAGACACACATGTTGAATTCCTGCCCTATTGAAGTTAATGAGAATGACTGACTGATTTCCCAGGATTTTTTAATATGTGCACACATTTAATGGAGCTTCAGCTTTGTTTTTCCCTATAGAAGGTATGCAAAGCCAGGAATTTATAAGGAATTTGTACTTCAAAATAATTACAAAAATATATTGGATTGTTATATGTCTCTTCTTCAGTAGAAACATTCACTGTAAAATAAGGTGTTTTTCTACCTCACATAAATGATTTTTTTTGTTTTGGAAAATAATTCCAAGTGAAATCAACATATAAAACTAATGAATTCTCACCAGTAAATTTCCAAGGTTACTCAAGTTCAACACCACTAATGGGCAAAAGCAGGACGTGAAAATCTTGGATTTTGCAACTAAAATAAATTAACATATATTTATTTATAAATGGCAAGAAGAACTTTTTAATTTGTGAGTAACATCAAATGAAATAATATAATCCATTTCTGCTTATTCCTATTGGGCGCATCTATGTGAGACACTATGCCACTGTAGTGATGAACTACATCATTGTAGTGCCTTGTTACAGTGACGTAGCTGCTAAAAATAACCGTGTGCCATCATTTAGTACTTCTTAAAGCAAATACTAAATGACAGCGCAGTAACAACCGCACCCTGGGGGGCTCATGTAGATGCACCCATTGAGAATGTATTATGTTTGAAAAGTATGGACTTTGGGATTTTTCATATACGATGCAAAATACTTTTATAAGGAGTATTGGTCCATAAAATAATGTTATGAGTTTGTATGTATGCTGCCAGCTTGCAACCAAAATCTAGCAAAATGCATTAAGAAAAATGATCTGCGCTGGAACTGTTGTGACACTGGTTGGCTAACCTGGACCATCAAATGCTTTCACATTTGGTCCATTTAGGGCTACATTACAGGAGAAAAAATGTATTAAAGGAAAAAAACCTCTGAAACATGATTTCTCACTCTGATAGAGTCTAGATATCTGATTTCTATTATATAAAGAAAACTTGGAGTTCAATAATCTATATACTGGAGTTTAAGTCTAAAACATGCACACTGATTTTCCATAGCCAAACTTATGAGCTTTTGAGTAGAAAATATGTGTGAATCTATGAAACATGTATTAGGCCTGTGCAAAGCAGGAAGTATTTGCTTCAGATTCAGCTGATTTGGAGGGACAGTGATTCAATTTGCTGATCTGAATCACTGTCCCAATTCTATCTGGCTGATTTTGGATTCAGAGATTTGGTGCCAATTCGGAGGTTTGGCCATAGAGCGTAATGGGGAATCACTAAAATACCTATAACTTTATCATTTATTTGCAGATTTGGATGAAAACAGCAGGGATGGTAGCCCCTCATGAGGGCTTGAAGCAAGCCTTCCAAGTTCCAAGGAGATAGGTGCAGGGGTTTCTGTGAAAGTGCACCTCAAACTATTGAAAGAAAAACTCTTATCACTTGTGTGTGTTAAGGCAGAGCAGGATGAATGCAGCAGAGATGGTAGTCCCCCCTGCAGGCATGTGGCCTGCCAGGTTTCAGGCAGAGTGGTACAGGGGTTTCTGTAAAAGTGCACCTTCAGGTTCTGAAAGCAAATAAAAAAAGCAAATGGGTATGGAGTGAGGAGGGTGGCACTCACTGTCTGCACAGGGAGCTTGGCAAACCCCAGCAGCCGGAGGTTCACCTTCAGGAACACCAGCAGCTCCACCAAACCAGGATCCAAAGAGGTGTGGTGGGGTGTAACAACATCACCAGCAATGCTGAACATCCACTTGCTTGGAACACTGGTTGGTGGACAGGACAGGTGTTCCTGTGCAACTGTGGCCAGATCCTGCCACATCTACCTGTGGGTTGCCTAATAGGCCAAGGGGGTGCAGTGCAGTGGCTCCACATCTTCGGTGATAGGTAGCCACTGAGGCCTCTGTGTTATCTGCCTGATGGTGGGGTCTGGTGTGTCTGGACCCCAACATTGAAGCCATGCCCTCGGTCCACATTGGCAACGGCTGTGATAAAGGAGATTGGCTCATGGTTGGAGTGCTGGCACAGGGAAGTAGATCCCCCTCTTCTATGTCCCTCCACCTCTGCCCTTCTGCCTCCCTGGCTCTGTTCACCAGCACTTCCATCCAGTAATTGAGGATTTTGCTACTGCAGATGCTCCCCTTCACCCTTGGGTCGCACGTGCCTGCCAGCACCTGGACCGTACGGGACCACAACTGATCCAGCTGTTTTTTGATGCCTTCCTTCAGCTGCTTTACCAGTGCCTGCACCTCTGGTGAAAGTGGCTTGCCCCAGCCAGGATTCCCTTGGAACTTCTCCATTTCATTCTCAAGCTCCTTCACTACAGGGATCAGCTGGTGCTGAAGCTTCCGGTGGCCTTGAGGGAATGGCTTGAGGACCACCAAGATCTAGGAGATGGTATCCCACACTGTTTTGTTAAGGGGGCTGCTGATCCCAATCTCCCTGACCAAGGCTTGCTCAACCAGCCTTTCCAGCATCAGGTATGTGAAGTTCCACCAAGTCTCCACATCCTGCATGATTTTGTGCTGCGGGATGCCCAGATTTACCTGTTTGTCCTGCAGCATCTTGCCCCTCCTTGATGCTCCGGTGAAAGCCCACCACCTTCCTGCATTTCAAAATGAGCTGGCTGGTAGTGATGGTGCCATCACCAAGAGCCCTGTCCACCTCCAGGGCATCCCTGACTACGAGGTGGAACTTGTGTGCTACAAAGTAGAAGTCAACAAAGTTGGCATCACGTACTGCCTCGACCATATTGGCCCCACTGTCAGTGATCATGAACCCATGGGTAAGCTCACCCTGCCCAATGAGCCACCCCTGTACCATGCAGTTCATGGTCAGTCACCATGATCTCACTTGCCGTGTGGGACTTATCCATCACCTCCGCTTGAAGGAAAGCCAATCAACACCCTGACTGATTGCACCAGTGCTCTGAGAGGGAGAGGGATGATCTCCACCCCAGCTTCTCTAGATGTCCGAGGTGAAGTGCAAGGCTACCTGTTGACCTGCCTTGCACAGCTCTGCCCTCCAGTACTCCCTGCATGCCTCATACAGGGAAGGCACCATCGTCCTGCTAAAGGTGGTGTGTGTGGGCACTTGGTAGGATAGTGCCATGAGCTGCCTGGACCCTGGACACTCAACAAAGGAGAAAAGCCGGCCATCCAGAGCAAGCATACCCCTGGTGCTCTGGGTGACCTCACTCACCTTGGGAACATGCCTCCCTCTGTCTCCACCTTTTCCCCACTGGTCCAGGGTAGCCTGCCTCTGCTTTTTGGGGATGAGGGATTTGAGAAAATTATCCAGGAGCACATCTGTGAGGGACCAGATGAGGAGTGTATGCTTAGGGGCAACCAACATGGGTTCATCAGTCAGGTACTATCAGACCAACCTGGTGGCCTTCTATGATCAGGTCACTAAATCCTTGGACACAGGAGTCACGGTGGACGTAGTCTTTGTGGACTTCAGAAAAGCCTTCGACACTGTCTCTCACCCCATTCTCATTAAAAAATTAGGCGACTGTGGTGTTGATCCCTACACGGTCAGATGGGTTGCCAGTTGGCTAGAGGGCTGTACCTAGAGAGTAGTGGTGGATGGGTCTTTTTCAACCTGGAAGGATGTGGGCAGTGGGGTTCCGCAGGGCTCAGTCCTGTGCTGTTCAACATCTTCATCGGTGACTTGGCCGAGGGGGTGAATAGCACCTTGTTCAAATTTGCAGATGACGCTAAGATGTGGGGGTAGGTGGGCACGCTAGAGGGGAGGGACACGCTGCAATCAGATCTGGACAGGTTACAGAGGTGGGTGGACAAGAATAGGATGGGTTTCACCACTGAGAAGTGCAAGGTACTGCACCTGGGGAGGAAAAACCAGCAGCACACCTACAGGCTTGGGAACTTCCCTCTAGCCAGCACAGAGGCAGAAAAGGATCTTGGAGTCATTATTGACTCAAAGATGTCAAAGATGAACATGGGCCACCAATGTGGAGATGCAGTCAGAAAGGCTAACCGCACCTTGTGATGCATCCACAGATGCATCACAAGCAGGTCCAAGGAGGTGATCCTCCCCCTCTATGTGACACTGGTCAGGCCACAGTTGCAGTACTGCATCCAGTTCTGGGCACTGCACTTCAGGAGGGATGTGGA